TGATGAAGAAAGATTCATTGACCCTAAAAATATATCAAAAGAAAATGCACAATCTAGAATAAAAATAGTAATTGAAACAAAAAAACATATATTTAGATTCACGGATGTTTATGATTTCACATTTATCTAGTTGGAGAAAAGAGATGAAGTATTAGAGCAGAAAAGTTATATTTGATGAACTAATAGCTGAAAACTTCCAAGATTTTAAATGACATATATTTACATAACTAATACCCTTATCAATACTTAGAAAAGGGAGACATGCACCCAAGGACGACTCAGTAAATTTAAGTGCTTGAGTCGAAGGCTGATGACCTGAATTCTATCCAAGACCCACAAAGTGAAAAGAAGAACTGAATCGAAGTTGTCCTTTGACCTCCAAGTACATGCTATGGCCTGACCTGTGAATTCACCTGTACATTCACCTGTGAATGCAAATAGACAACTCACTAAACAAATTTAATAAATATATCTTAAACCTTAAATTGAAATATATTCAGCAAAATCACAACAAAAGTACTGTGCAACTATGACTTTTAATTTAAATTAGAGTAATCAGAGCACAAAACACAATATGTTTGAGAAGGAATGCACATGGATCTGATTTCCTCATTAGAAAATGTACACATCAGAGGACAGTGGAGTAAGTGCTGAAAACAAAGACACAAAAAGCATATTTAGATGTAAGAAGAAAATACTTTAAAAAATAAATATAGGAGAAAAACAAACATATTAACAAAATTGAAAATCTATGAGAATTTATCTTCAGCAGATTTATTCTTAGTGGAAATTGTGAAGGAGTTCCTCAGAGCCAAGGGGCTGACACTATAGACATTGTTATTGAGGAAACAGATAATAATAACAAAACAACAAAGGAGACCAGTGTTTTCTTTAAAAACCCATTGAACCAGTGTGTCTCATCTCAAAAAGAAATATAAAGTGAAAAATAAATAAAAGAAAAAAAATTGAAAATAATAACTCAATTTGAAATAAAAATAAATTTATTGAGAAAAGTATATTTTGAATGATTCAAAGAATGGCAGCAAAAGGAGTAATGAATAGAGTGTTTTAAATAGTAAATAATATTCCATTGTGTAAAAATTCCACAGTTTCTGTATCCATTCCTCCGTTGATGGACATCTGGGTTGTTTCCAAG